TTTTCCCTTGAGAGGGTTTTTCCTAGCCTCTTTTGCTAGAGTTTTTTCTTTGTTTTTTCTTCAATCCTTCCCTACTTTTCTTCATCTCCTTCATTCTTGATTTTTATTTGTGAATTTTGTAGGGGCTTCCACTGGTTTTTACCGGTGGAAAGCCCCAAAATCTCTTTAATTGCTTTAAATAAAAAGATATCATCCTTAAGATGGTGTTCATGGTAGGGATTTTAATTACTTGTTTATTGAGAATGAAGATCGAAGGTTTCGCAATTTCTACCGGAGTTTAGAAGACCAAGGAAGGATATTCATCCAAAAAATTATGCATCTACAGATCTTATGTCGAATTAGAGCGGACTCAGAGATTGTATTGTTTCGGATGAATTTTTTGTTAAGGCTATTATCAATCGATTCTGCGATGTTATTTTTAGGGTTTTATATGTTTTTGTTGGAATTTTAAATTTCTCAAAAATTGATTGTAAGTGTCGTTTGGGTATTTTATAAATGAAATCTTTAATCTTCCCGTCAAAAAATCTATTGTTTTCTTAGTTTCTTAATAAAAAATTTGATTAATAATATTGATAATAATTGTTTATGCCAAATTTCGTTAAGTGGGATTGAATAGCAAAATCTAGGTTACGAATCAACTAAATAAAATCTAAAAAGAAAGCAATACGAAAATAAAAAGATGACACAAGAAATTGGTGACGCGGAAAACCCAAAGAAGGTAAAAATCGCGGGTAGAATGACAATCTACCAAACTTTCACTATGAAAAATGTTAATCAAGAAGGTTACAATGAATGGTTGATGTATCTTGTATAGCTAGATTTCTCTGTGTCCTTCGTTGGTGGAGCTTATTTCTTTTATAGATGATGATTAGGGCAAAGTGTAGTCGTTATGAAGTGATAAGCCGCTCCCCTAATATTCGGAGCTATCTTTTCGAATACTCACCCTCAACTCAGCCCACTTACGGCTACATTTAGCTGGCAAAAGACTAAGTCTTCCATGCTTATCGTGTCCTAGAAAATAGCTAGGTGTCACAATCACTTGCGGGTCGACCTAGGCAAGGCCGTCAACCACCCCGCAAAGGCGCGCAAGGCCTTCGAAACCCCACTTGCCTATACGAGCAAGTATGCGCTCGGTTCGGGAAGAACGAGCCAAGTGAGGCTAGAATAGCTCACTACCATGTCTAAGGCATGTGAGGTTATCAGGGATGACCTTCGGGTGCTTAGACTGTGGTGCTAGAGAAGCACGGGTCAACTAGGCTTTGGGCCTATGGCCAGTGTGCGCGCGCGCGCTAAAAGATCCTCGGGGTGTTTGGTCGGGCAAAACTCCATAACAACCTTTGATACTTATTGAGGGGACTTATTAGGATCCTAATAGATCATACATGGCCTAAGGGCCAAGGTTGGGTTTAGGGATCGGACTTGAGAGTCCATTATTGTGTTACTGTCAGTTGGGTGCTCACTAGTATTCTAAGGCTGGTGCTAAATAAAGCTCTTTAGGGGGCGAGTGCTCACTCAAGGGTCAGGGGCTGACCTAAGGGTGGCCTTAAGGCTATGGACCTTAGGCATGGTTTTGGACATAGGATGGCCTATGGAGACCATAGCACACTTAGATGGCTAGGGTGGACACCCAATAGGACAATCCGACTCGGTGGTCCCGGCTAGGAGGGGTGCGGGCTGACTAATGAAGGCTGAGGGCTTAGTACGGTGCATGCTTGCTAGTGGTGCGTGGTTTGACTAAGGGATGCTCTTGGGATCATGTTATGGTGTCTTTAGGGTGGTAACCATAGTGACCCCGGCATGGAGGAACGAGTGCGGCCCGGGTCAACGATGTCTTTGGTGCCTTCGACGAAACTATGGACTTACGTGGCCACATGCTCGATGCTAAGGAATGACCTTAGCTTGTAGATGGTCTAACCAAAACTCTCCTTGGTGGATTACTTTGTAGGGACTCCTTGACGGTTATGCCTAGTCACCATTATGGTATGCGGTTGCCTTAAATATAAGGATTGGCTAAGTAGTGGTGGATGGTGGGCGGTAATGCAAGGTAACCACCCACGTTGCACCACTCTCCCTAAATTATAGGGACGGTTATGCTAAGGTGGAAAGAAGGGCTAAAGATGGTTCCTAAAATATAGGACCATATCGTTAGTGGGTTGGCTAACGGTTATCTTGACCATGATCCTTGACGTGGTCAATCGGAAACGCGGTTAAGCCACACCAGAGGACGGTTCCTATAAAATAGGAGCATCCAAGGGTGGTGGGTGGTAACCATTCGGACGTGGGTAGTTATTCCAAAGGGATAATGCCACGTCATGTGGAAGTTACCCCCACTCACTTAGTGGCCCTAGAAAATAGGAGCACTAAGGGAGTGGGCGGTTATGCTGAGTAGGCAGTTACAATGGCCAGGCAGTTTAAATTCCACATAGGCACACTGATGCATGCCTCCTAAAATATAGGAGCATGGCATAGTGGCAAGTGACGGTTACCAAACGGTTACAAGGACATGCAAAACGTGGGTAACTTCCCTGACTACGTGGACAGGTCCAGATTCATCCAAGTATGCATCCAAGTAGTGGGTAGTTACAAAATCATGGGTGTAGTGGGCATAGTGGGCAGTTATCCTATCTGACTGGGCTGTAGTCAGTGTCTATAAATAGGCCAAGGCATTCATTTGCTGGGCATCAGAGATTTTGGAGTTCTAGAGAGAGATTCTAGAGAGAGAAACTCCTGCTATAGTTTGTAAGCCATGAAAATCAATAAAATGTTCTAGTCATTCTTGTCTCTTGTCTTGTGTGTTCTTCTTTTAAAGTACTTAAGTGTTGTAGGCTGGTCTAGACTCGGTCTAGACGCCATCATGGGAACCCCCTCGGTCCCTAACTTAGAAAAAAAAAAACTAGTCTCCAAATTTTCCCGTGACACTAGGGAAGTAGTTTCTTTGCATTTCGTCTATCGAAGCTGACTTCTCTTCGTCAAGGCTTGCTCTCTGTCGAAGCTTGGTCTTCATTGTTGACAATAGCAGACTTTCGTTGACTTTGACGACCTACTTGTCAAAATTTACCCATAACAACAATAATCATAACAACAATAATATTTTATTTTCAAAAATTTAAAACTGACATATTAATGCCTTAAGGTATTTATTTTGACCATGACCATAGTCTGAATTCCGACCATTGACTTAATTTTCTTATCATAACCTCCTCATGAGTGACACATAGGTTTAATTTTTTCATTTTTTCCCCAATGACCGTGTCCACAATTCCCCCTAAACCTTTGCTCAATTGTTCCCTCAACTCTTTTGACCTTCTTCAATTCTCACCATTTCACTTCTACCCACAACCTTCTTTCATGTACCCTTGGAAGTCCTCTCCTTCTTCACCTCATTCTTTCCCCTCTTTGGACCAAGCCACCAACCCTAGCCTACCCCAATATTATATTTCCTACCCTTCTACTTCCTCTATAAACAAGTTTGAAACACGATTTTTTAACCTAAATTTGATTTTATTTGAAATATGATGTTGAGGAATATGGTGATTGAATGGTATTGATCGAGAAGGCAGATATTACGATTAGGAAGGACAGTGAAGGAAATTGAGATTTTTATGTAGGCACGTGCTTTGCACATGATATGGTCAATTAAATAATGGCAGTTAATGATTAGGTACTCGAGGTGTATCATGTAATGGTTTAGGTCAAACTAACAAAAGTTAATTAAACGTTTTAATATCTCAAAACTACCCCTTTTTTAAAGGATGTTTCGCATATTATAAAAAAACTATTTGAACCATAATGTCCAATAAATGATTGATATTACTCACTAACTAAATTTTGCATACACCATTCAAGTATATTATAATGTCCCTAACCAACGCCGTTATGGTAACAAGAGGTCATTGAGGTGTCAGTTAAAGGCTTATTGGAGCTTTAATTACAAGCCATATATGCATGTCGTCGATCATCACTAAAAAGGTTAGTACGTACATATGATAATATCATGATATTTTTAGTGCACCGACATTAATATTATTTCGTACCAATAAGTAGATAAGCCATCAACAAACTAAAAGCTTGGTTCTTTCTCCAAAAAAAAAAAAAAAAAAAAAAGAAGGGGCTTGGTTGCCTTCGTTGAGCCACACCTTGAAGTGAATAGCTATGTTTTACTTGAGCCCTTTGGTTGGAGATCTTGGAGTAAATTTTTTTTTTTCACCTATAAATTATATTAAATTAAAAAATAATAGTTCGATATATTAATAATAAGGGAAATAACCGCGATCACTTAATAATATTTCTAACTTTGCCAATTGCCATTGCTGAATTGGACTATATTGTGGTCAATCATGATGATTATTTAGAGCGACTAAACCATCTAGCATGACTTATTTATAAGAAGTATATTGCATAACTTGGGAGAAATGAACATGTACATGTACATTTAATGTCTAGCTAGAATAATTTTTTTTTTTTAACGTCTTAGCTTTATTGACAGCATGCATGCATGTGCTTTTCAATAATATGTAATGTTAAAATTTAATGAGAATGAAAAGTACAGTTTAGTATATTCTAGAAATTATAAAACTCTTAATCTAAGCTACCAAATGTGTTCATAGATGAATTATTTTTATCTTCAAACAACAGGTGTAATTCTACTAACTTATAATTTAATGAGAAGTAACAATGTTTTTGCATGCAACAAAACACTCGCTTACTTTAAAGGCAATAGTCATCGATTGAAGTAGTAAGAATTTTATCTTGGCAAACATACTATTAGAATGTTGTTCACATGTTGCATGGCCATGGTTCAAAGATTATTTGTAACAATGTGCCCTATCTTCTTACCAGGGTTGCTCAAATCACTATTTTGCACACATGTTGAGCTACTAAGTTAATATACATATTTAGTTAAAATTAATTAGGTTGGAAATTAAAATCTAATTAAATAACTTTAATGAATCTTTCAAAAACATCTAAATGGAGACGAAAAAAGTAATAGCTAGTAACGATAAAACAAGATGAATAACAAACTTTTATTGAATAATAATAAACAACAAAAGCATAAACGACAACATACACACCAATATAACTCATACCCTCCAACACTCACAAGAGAGTCTCCTACAACCATGCAAAACTAGCTTAGTATAACAAAAATTCACCCCATTAACTAAAACACAATTATGAGTTATAACAACATAATAGAAGTATTAATTAATTAAGCTCAAAACCACAATTAATCACACCATAACAACCTATTAATTAATCATAATCTATAATCATCTTAAGGAATACCCCCAACACAACCAGCACCACCTCCAGTTCCAGCACCACCACCAGCACCACCAAGCCCACCTAACCCACCAAGCCCACCAGCACCACCACCTAACCCACCAAGCCCACCAGCACCACCACCAAGCCCACCAGCACCACCACCTAACCCACCAAGCCCACCAGCACCACCACCAAGCCCACCTAACCCACCAGCACCACCCAACCCTCCTACACCTCCAGCACCACCTAACCCTCCAACTCCGCCAACGGGTAAACCAACAACTCCAGCAACACCTCCAACACCACCACCAACACCTCCGAACGAGACAAAGTTCTTCTCGTCGGTTGCTGGTACTGTTACACCACTTTTCTTGTTATCATCTTGAGTTGTGTTGACAATGTTTGTGTTAGTCTTTTGCTCTGGTGCAGTTCTTGCCGCGAAGGCAGATTGCACCAGAACCATTACCAAAAACAATGTAATGCAACACTTACCCATCTTTTTTCTTCCTCTCTTAGTACTCTCTTGTTTTTCTCTTTGTTTGTGAATGAGAATGAAGTGATAGTGTTGAGTTTATATAATGCCGAAACTTAGGGTAGTAGTATGTAGTAACGAACACACTAGTAAGAGTAGTATAGTATAGTAAATAGTAACGTGGTAAGTAATAAGTATTGTACAGTAAGAGGATGGAAGGTGGGATAGTTGGAGATAATAAATGAGGATGACATAAATGACAAAGTTGAAGTGTTGTTGTGTTAGCGCGCAGGAATCTCAGTGTATGATAACATGTTTTTTTTTGAAATCATCTTGGAAAGGAGAGATGTTGCTGTGAATTTGTGGTACTTGATAAGTTGATATTACTACTTGTATGTAGTACTAGTACAATTTACCAGGGTAAAGGACACTTTTTAACTTGTTATTTTGGCTGTTTATTCATGTGGGTAACAATCTTTTTTAACTTGTATGACTCGGTGTAAGGTAATGTTTTGTGATTTGGAAAGAAAACCGTGGTTTGAAAGGGTAAAAAATAAAGTTAAGCACCATCATATACTTGTTTGCCCTATCTAATTTGCGGTTTTTGGTTCTTTAATATTATGGTGTATCTTATGTTATGTTGTTGAGAGAATTTGGGCTAGGTACTATTGTTGAAGTTGGTCTTTTGCTACATGTATGAGTCAAAATTCTATGTGATGAAATTTTGGCCACCTATTGTAGTCATTAATTGGCTGTGAGTGTGACACATATGGCCATGTTTATGTGAAATGTGATAGGATTGCATAAAAAGTTGAGTGACTTTTGTTGTGACACCATATTACTTTGCTTTTTTAAAAAAAAAAAATTGATGTACATAGTGCCATTTATATCAACAAGTACGATTTTCTTTTAAAGAGCACATATAATAAGATATTTTACTATATATTAAGCGCGCTTAACTTGGATTAGTCTTGAGATGATTGAGTGACCTCCTAGGATTTTTTATTTTCGGCTATTTCACCAAATGCCACTGAGTAATTTAAAAATTCACCAAATGCCGTCGGACTTTTCAGAATTCACCAAATGCCACCCAATTTTTTTAAAAATTCATCGAGTGCCATTAATGACCAACGTCCGTTAACTCCGTTAGTCATTGGGGCTTAATCATGACACATGCGGACACATGTCAGTCAGCTATTGGTTTAAAAAATATAAAAAAAACTCTAAATCCTGACCCAACCCAGCCCCACCTCTGTAACCACCCGCCAAAGCAAACCGACAGCTGAAGCCAACCGCCGGAACTCGGTGACCTCCTGCCAGAACCCCCAGACCTCCCGTCGGAACCCGCCAGAACCCCCAGACCTATCGTTGGAACCCTTGACACCTCAAAAACCGTCGACTCCACTTAATCTCCCTTTCCTTCTCCCAAAAAAACCTCCCCAGCCACCGCATTCGTCTCACACAATGCGAAGATTTCTACCTGCCCGACTCCAGCACCCAGACAATGACCCACAAAACTGTGCCTACCCGACGACCCCCGCCCTATCCCCTCCCCAGCCCCCGCAACCACCTCACGCACCAACACGACGCATCACCATAGCCGTTGAAACCGACCATGGCAACCTAGAATAGAACCGGATTCTAGAAACCCTTCACCCTCAAACGGTCGATTGGGTCGAAATCTGAGGCCGATTTCGTCGTTTTAAGGGTGGAGGATAGGAGGAGTGGTTTTGCGCGATGGTTGGAAAACGCTAGGTGTTTTTATCAAAGCTCGCTTGTGTTGGTGGTTTTTGGGGTCGGGGCAGGTTGTGTGGGTGGCTATGGGGGTCGATGGTAGGTTTGGTGGGGTATAAAAGGGTCGGCCGACCATTTTTTTGTGGTTAAAGGGGTGGTCGGCTGTTTGCTGGCTAGATAAGGGGAGGGGCTAGGGTTTGGTGGTGGTGGGAAGTTGGATGGAAAGTTTTTGGGTTTTTTTTTCTTTTAATTTTTGTGAATTAAAATAAATAGACCAATTATATCATGACATGTGTCATGATTAAGCCCTAATGACTAACGGAGTTAACGGTTGTTGGTCATAAATGTCACTCGATGAATTTTTTAAAAACTGGGTGGCATTTGGTGAATTTTGAAAAGTCCGATGGCATTTGGTGAATTTTTAAATTACTCAGTGGCATTTGGTGAAATAAGCGTTTTATTTTTATTATTTTTATTTTTTGTCAACAGTACACTAGGAAGTTTTTTTCGATAGGAAGTTTGATTATTTCGTTATTCAATAATGGAGATATTTTTGCATCAAGTAAATAAGTAATTTAACAAAAATAGACCCATTTTGAGTCGGAAGTTATAATTTGCTCATATCACTTTCATTTTAACCTAAATTAGGACTCATTATTATATATATCTTTGATAATAGTATTGGTGTTGTCAAAAGATAATAGTATTGGTAGGGGCTATTCATCCGAGTAAAATGCAAAGATTAATAATATTGTTTTATATATGAACTTCATCATAAGCTAGATTTGATTATTTTCAATCGTTTGGCTAATTAATGGAATGATCATGGGTCCATTAATTTAAAGTTATTCGTGAAATAATCTAGGGTTTTAGAAGGAATAATGAACCCTAGCTATAGATTTATTTATGACACTCAAATTCAACTCTCTAAGTAGAAATAAGTAGATAACTGTCATTGGGGGATACACATGAAACATGAGTTGTGTTTTTTTTAGGTATATTTACACCTTTGTTACTACTAATCCGGTTTTGCATCACTATACTGACGCGTAAGCATTTAAATTACTTGTGCATCATATATGGTGGTTTAATTTGGTTGCACAGTAAGTATAATCCCTAATAATTTAGTTGTGTAATTCGTAAACCTAGATAATTTCAAAGCTTTTGTCCTCTTAACCTCTTATAGCATATCTTATTAATTTTTTTTATTTATTATTTTTATTATTTTTAATTTAAACAACAATTTGTGCATGCAAGTCCACAAGAGCGGCATGTATGTTACAGATTGAGAAGGTGTAAGTGTAAGTCGTGTAACACAGATTAAATTTAGAAAAGTATGTAGGTAAGTAGGTAACTATTGTATATATGTATATAGGAGTTGTTCCCAGTTAACTCCCAATTTATCTAGAGGTATAATCGTCTTTTTAAATACCAGTGAAAGGGTACATGTGTCGTCTTTTCATGTACTAGTTGAGGGGTACATTTGTAATTTCCTCACCAAATAGTAAATACAAGTTGCAAACAGTAATTGACAACTCACCAAAAATACTGAATAAATTACCACATTTTTTCAATATGTTTATAGCTAGAATTGTCACCAGATTAACTAAAATTCGTTTATGTGGCAGATTAACTTGTATTTGCCGTGTATATAGTACATACTAGAAGTAATATAAGCACCATATATATATATATATACCGAGCTCCATAAAAAATGAATTGATTGTACCCTAATTATTTCTCGATACACATTGCAATACATACATCTACATTGATTCCAAAACCTACATAAAACTAAATAAAGATTCGGAAAATTTGTCAGGAACTACACGCTTAATAGGGGTATTTGGAAACAACGACCCACTAAAACATTTTATCAAAAAAACTACCCCTAAATTTAAAAAGTTAGAGTAGCACTACCCATTTGCATTTTCCGGCGAGAATGTTCGGCGCATGGGCCCACTTTTTCAATTTTTCTCTGAAAAGACACGATGCAATGACAAATTGGACCTTAATTCGTAACCCTAAGATAACCAATTTGAATTAAAAGCAACAAATTCAACCAATTTCAAATTATCCCCAATTTCTAAGAACCCTAATTTTTCTAATTGTTACACCCTAACATCAAAATTCATAATTAATGAATTAAAAGAGAAGAATTACCTATGAATTGCATACCCTACTTGTTTTCACTTCTTCAATTAGGAATTTTTAGAAGAAAAATTGAAAAAGTGGGCCCCACACACCAGACTTTCTCGCTGGAAAATGCAAATGGTAGTGCTACTCTAACTTTTTAAATTTAGGGTTGGTTTTTTTGATAAATTTTTTTGATGGATAGTTGTTTCCAAATACCCCTATTAAGCATGTAGTTCCTGACAATTTTTCCTAAAGATTCCAATTATTTTGTTAGATGAATTTGCAGTGTAAGATGGGAAGAAGGGCATTAGTATAATTAGTAAGCTAAAAGACTAACATAATGGAGTATGCCTAAAGATAGCTGTTGTCCTGCGTTGACAGAGAATTAATTGGAGTCATGGCCGAAAACTGGACGACTTGAATGCTTTGATATGATGAACGATGTTTAAGTTATACTTGATGTTTGCAGACGAGCTAGGTAAAGTATCCTAAAGATCCCTTTTTTTTTTGTTCAATTCTTTTTAACAATACAAGTATTTTGAAAATAAGTATTGTCGTGGGCTACTTAAGAAGAAGCAACGCATAATTTTAATCATTTATAAGCTCAATAAAATTTTTATTATTATATCTCAATTATCTCATTTGTACCACATGGATCTACTCAATTATAATACTTGTATTTCATTTAACACCCGTCTTGTTGTCTTTAGACAACTTGTTTAGATAAGGTGGGGGACTAGGGGTTAATTAGAAATATCCAAGTTTAATTGACAACTAAGATTAGATGATTTCATATTAGTAGAAATTAAGTGAACAATGTTGAAATTCATTGTAATTCTACTTTTTTAGCGTCTCGTATTGGGAAAAGAGAATAGAAAGTTACACTTTATAAGATGGAAGAATTACTCTTCTTCTTTGTTTGGTTGCCCTGGTTTGTTTCTTATTTGTCTCGCATTGCTATCAGGGAAAGCATCCTGCTTTACGTTTGCTACTCCTTTAATTTTTTTTAATTTTTTAATTTTTATATTATTACTACCACCTAAATCAGAGTTTGTTAAAAATCACTACCACTTAACAGAATCCGTTAAGGTTCCATTAAATGGGACCCAATATTTAATTAAATAATAATTTAATTTATTTTTTTATAAAAAAAAAACTAAAAAATCAAAAATCCCCGGCCACCCCGAAACCACCAAATAGCCACTTTCCCCCTCCCTTCGCCGGCGCCCAAACGTTC